CCAATACAGAAACTTTTGAACTATACAATTACTAGATTCTAGAGCTAACAAAAGAAGATTATGCTGATAACACCAGATGAGATATTCACAATTCAGAACAAAATAGCTCTAAACAAAATCAAGATCTCAATAACCACAGCATAGGGGAAAGGTAGCTAAATGAACTTTTACATTGTGCTGCAATGAAAAAGAAAAAAATCCTTCCATATTGTCCACTGAGGAAGAGAGGAAATACTCTTGTTCAATACGTAGAAGTTTCATAACATTTATACAAGTTAGTGCAGGATAGCTTCTCCACATCATTATAGTTTCGTAGCACCACAGGTAAGTGTGTTTCATGCTTCCATTAACATATAGCGTTACAAGTGTGTTTCGTGCTTCCTTATTTACACTAGCAAAATTTTGCCTATCGTACATCAAATCTATGTAATGCCCATCACAAGTTTTTAGAAAATGTGATCCCACCCTAGATCAAATGCCTTAACCTTAAGTCCACATTCCATCATACTTCCAAATGCAAAATAATTGCACAATACCCACACCACCACAGATGTAGAATGGTCAAACAAAGATGAATCCAAAAGCAAATGGAAGCTAGCAAATGACAGTAGCTATAAGCAGCATATAAACCTTTGTCAGCAAGTCGGCATCATCAATCCTAATCTTCTTTTCATATCCTGGTGGAGGAAATGGAAAACAGCGAGACATCGCACAGAACCCTGGATATGGCCAAGTAGCAGCTCCGCACCAAACAAAAAGTTGTATCTAGTTTCCCGTACAGTTGTTCCAAGACAGGAACAGACCATAAACTATGCTCTTGCTCAAACACCATGTCCCCGCAGTCATTTCCAGCTTACACCACTACATCATCCCTCAAAAGAACCATCCAAAAGGAAGTCTCCCCTCAAGTGAGTGATGTTCCTTCGAAATATCTGAGCTGAGAACCAGCTTGAAACCACGAGAATTTAAGAGGGCAACTCCCTTGAAGTAACAATGAGTATAATTAGTAGCCCCCGGGACTAATAAAGCTCCAATCAGCTCAAAGATTTGCTTAAAATGCTTAAGTTCCAATTCGCAATCTGCTAGCAAGCAAAAGCCAGTTCAAGAGCTTCCATCAAGTTCTGGAATCAAAATCCTGACCTCTTAAGTGCCAGCCCAAACCAGTTAGCAACTTCTTCGATTGTAATTTGAGGATTCTATCGAAAACCCACCTCTGATTTTTGCCAGATTCAATGTGGGAAGCTAAAACCGTAGCCACTGATCCCAAAATCTCCAATTCCTTGCTCCTTATATACAAACCCTAATACTTGATAAAAACCACAATTAGGGCAGATTCTCCAGAGACCAGGGCAGATTCCCACGGACGATCCGGCCGAAACCCTAGACAAAAAAAGAACAGAAAGAAGGCCAATCAACATACTCCGCGAAGCAAAGAAGCGTAACAAATTTCAATTTGCCCAACCCCGGAAACACTGAGAATTGTTTAGTGTGAAAGTTGCAGGATGACAACATCGAAGTTTGAAACTTTTGAAGATCAAAAGAGCAGATATTTCGAATGCCCAGAAACAATGAAATTTTTAAGGTGAAATACTAATGGAGAGTAGGAAAGGGTTTGTTTCATACGGATCGCTGGTGGGGTTCCAAAGTAGGCAATGTGTTAAAAGGATGATGGGCAAGATCTCAAAGATGGAAACAGAGGAACAGATAAAACTGAGACCTCTGGTGGAAACAACAAACGAAACCCATGGCTTCCCGCTAAGGAAAAACAGTCTGTGTCTCCCCTCTCTCGCCCTCTCTTCCTCTGTTACTCTCTATATGAACATCCAATCCGTCTCTACCTGGTTCGTTGTCTTTCTCTCTCTCCCTCTAATTCCTGCGTATTTGTATCTATCAATCGAAAGACGGAAGAGAAGAAATGGATCTTCTTGTTAAGCTTCGTCTGCTTCCTCCTCTTGTTGTTGAATCAAACTGTTTGCCTCTGCTGAATGCAAAGAGAACGAGGGAGAGAGAGCGCACCGGGGTGGCTGGCTCGGTTCTGTTTCTCTCTTCGTTCCTTTGGGGGATTTTCCTTGGGGAAATTTTTTTCCTTCCTCTTTCTCTCTCTTGGTTTGGGTTCGTGTCTGTCTAGTCCTCCTCTCCGCTAATGAAAAGAAACCCCACGGAAAGGGCAGAGGCAAAATTATAAAGGGGGAGTGGCAAAGGGTATTTATATTCGAGATTGGTAGAGAGAGAAAGACAGAGGGGGAAGGCCGGAAGGGGGTGAGGTGAGAGAAACGTGTCAAAAGGAAGAATCCAGAGTGAAAGTATGCTTCCTCCTGGGCTCTCTCGTTCCCTCCTCCTCTAGGTACAAGAAAAACAAGCTCTTGTGGATGTGGTTAGCATAGGTGTATCTTGAAAATGTATATACGTTTTTTTTTATTCTTATACTAAATACGGTTCACATCTTTTTGAATAAAGTTTAAATAAGGGTGTTGATATGACTTGAATCGGACTATCAGCCGCTACAACTGGTAATCGAGGGTCTCGCTGACCAGTCAGCGAGTGGGGTCCAGGGGCAACGCCCCCGGCCCACGGTGTATGGGCTCAATGTTATTTGGGTTCGGGTTCTGGGCCTGGTCTGTAACCGTTTCTTTTGCCATATTGGATTAGGTTTAGACCCACATGGAGAAGTACTATAAATACTTCTCATACTTCTCTATAATATGTAATCTCCTCGATATAGTGAAACTGGCTCTCTCTCGCCCGTGGACGTAGCTAACACACATCGTGTTAGTGAACCACATAAATCGTGTGTCTGTGTTTTTCGATTCTCGCTTCCGTATTCTTGCTTTATCGATTCCGTCGATTTCCCGATCCGTAGCAGCGCGCTTATAACAAAGGGTGTTTGATGTTCTTGATGATCTACGAGGCAAATCTAAATTACATTAAATCTATTCCTATGGAGGTTCAGCGAGAGCTCTAGAACTACAATTATGGTTATAGTTACATTTGCTGAGAAAAAAGAAAGAAAAAAAACTTGACAATAGGTTGTCTAGTGTGAATTTGGCGAACCACTTTTCTGTCATCTTCACCTCCTATTTATCGCCACAAGAAGAAACGGTCTTCAAAAAATCTCAATTCGCCCCCCCCCCCCCGCCCCCCCCCCCCCCCCCCCCCCCGGTAATTAGAGGTTACCATTGAAGCTCACTCTTTGGCAAAAAATCAAAAGAGGCGAAAAATACAAAAGGCAAAAGCCTACAGACTTCTTGAGAACAACCGAAAACAGGAAGCAAAAAACTACAAAGAGAATCTAAGCTATCCCAAGTTGGCTATAACTAGAATTCTTAAAACCTCAGAAGAAAAATCAACATGACAATAGCTATAAAGTTTCATCTCTTCCCTGAATAACTTTGCCAAAACTTCTGGAGCTCTCGAACTCTCCCCAAAACAGTGTCTACAACACTCCTTCCAAAGCCAGCTTATACTCCAGCACCAAAAAGAACAATCCAACAAAGACTCACTACCTCCCTGGGATGGTTTCCTACACATAAACTCAAGCATCTTATCCCAGCAAGGCTGCAAAAAAACAAGCGTCCTCATAAGAGCATAAACGAAAGCAACAGAATATTCACATTCGCAGAACAAGTGTTACCCGGAATCCTCATACTTGTGCCACAGCACACAATCAGCAACAATAGTGACTCCCCAGGTTTTAAGTTTATCCCTTGTATTAATATGATCCAGAATAACCATCCATGTAATGAAACGATTCCTTGGCATAACAAACTTTCCCAGAGAATCCTCCACCAACTCACCTTAGGGTTTTTGAATCTGATAGTTTCCCAAATGGTTGAAACATAAAACCTTACCAGTTTCCTTCCAAGCCATAGCACACAAACCAGCATCATCAAGATCCATTATGTATCTGAACCAAGGTCTGAGTTTCATTAATTGACGCCATATCATGGGGCGGCAGTATGGCGATCACCCCCTCACCACGTGGTATGGTGGCCACCCACCTAGCACATCATGGGGGTGGCGGTATGGTGGCCACCCACCTAGCACATCATGGGGGTGGCGGTGTTGATCCCCACCACCACGTCTATAGGTGTCAAAACATAGCTCGGCCCGATCAACCCGACCGCAACTCGAATTGACTAAAAGTCAACAACCCATAACCCGCCCGACCCGCAACCCAACTAACCCGCAACCCGATTGACCCGCAACCCAATTAACCTGAACCTGATTGGCCTGCAACCCGACTGACCCGCAACCCGAATCCGACTAACCCGTAACCCGACCGACTCAACCAGAACTTCACCCAATCCACTTGAACAATTATTATAATATATAATACATAGTTTTTCAAAATAAAGTTTTTCATTGTAAACTTAAGTAATTATTTTTTCAATTCGTATAGGAAATTTAAAAAATATAAAACTCACTTGATATTATGTATTTTAAGAAAATTACAAAAATTGAAACATGAATGTCACTTGAACACTAAGTTCTTTAACAAAATTTAAAAAGTAAATATAAAATCAACATAATGTCAATATTAATAATGAAGAATTAATAATTGAGATCATGGAAAATATTAATATAATATATAAATTAAAATTTTGGTTAATTTAACTATTCCATAAAATTATCAATTAAATATAAATAAATTAAATTAATGTATTTGTTAATTTGATGTCCTTAAAAAAAGAGGGAAATTTTGGTGTATTCAACTTTTTGGAAAGAGAAAGAAGAGGGAAATTTGGTTCTTTAAATTTTGGCAAAATACACTTTTATAGCCAAAACTTTCACGTTTGTGTCACTTATAACCACTTTTGGCGAAATACCACTTATAGCCACTTCCGTCCAATTCTTTAATGGTGTTAGTGTTAGAGTCTGACTGGACAAATAGAGATGCTGACATGGTGAGCATTTATGGCCAAATTTGCTGATGTGGCAATTTTATATAAAAAACATGTCAAATAAAAAAGTATTACATTTAATGAGGAAAAAAAAAAAAAAAAAAAGATTGGACAAATCAACATCTCCCTCTCTCTTCTCCACCACCGTCCAACTTCCTCCTTCCTCCTCCTTCTCTTTTCCACGACCCAACTTCCTCCTTCCTCCTCCTTTTCTTTTCCACGACCATCCCACTTCCTCCTTCATCCTCCTTTTCTTCTCCACCACTGTCAAACTTCCTCCTTCCTCCTCCACAGGACCTCCACCGCTCCTCTGTTGCTCCAACATCGAACGATGTAGATCTAGATCTGGTGGTCATGACTTCTTTCCCTATTTGAATCATTCTTCACGCTCTTCACTGCTGATGTCGTCGACTGATCATGAATACGCTCCTCCGAGCCCCGATTTTGATTCATCATCGAAGAAAATGGAGTCTGCAGATCCGGATCTCCGCTGGCCGATGAAGTTGAGGAAGGTGATTCGTCGGAGGGCGACGCGGACGAAGGGGCGATGGTGGGGAAGCGACTAGTAGCGGCATCAGAAGGCAGAAGAGGAAGGTGGTTCGTCGGGATCTGAAGCACCCTTTTCTCTCTATTTGTGCGAGATCTGGAGCTGTTGCCTTCCCCCTCTGCTCCGTCAAAAGGAATTTGAGACGTTTTAGATCCGCGGACACCAGATTTGATTCAATCGGGGGAGAGAGATGCACGATGGAGTGTTTCTCTATTTGCCCTGCGAGAGTATCGCCACCGCCGTCGAGTTCACCATCTCCGTCTCTGGTGAGAAAACGAAGAGACCTACATGGTGCGGGGGATTCGTTAATTAGTTTTTGGAATTGGGGATTCTAAAGCCGATTTTTTTGGGGGGAGTTGGGATAAATCGGTTGTGTACAGAGAGGAATGGAAGGCAATTAAGAGAAACGAGATTTTCATCTCTTTTTTTTGGTTTTTTATAATTTAATGTAGTAATTAAATATTAAATAATTATAATATCTGACGTGTCACTGTCCGCTGATTTGGCGCTGACGTGTCCGCTGATTTGGTGCCTAGTCACCAACCCATCAAATAAGTTGATGGTGTTAATAACACCATTAAAGTATCTAACGGAAATGGCTATATTTGGCACACAACATCTTTAAAAAGTGGCTATAAGTGGTATTTCGCCAAAAGTGGCTATAAGTGGCACAAACGTGAAAGTTTTGGCTACACAAGTGTATTTTGCCTTAAATTTTTTAGAAAAGAAACAAGTGAGAATTTTGGGAGTTTTGATTTGTGGGAAGAGAAAGAAGTGGAAAAGTTTGGTTCTTTTGATTATAAAAGAGAAATAAGGAGAAAATTTTTGAGTTTTCAAGTTATTGTGAAAGGAAAGAAGGAAAAGGGAAATTTGATTATTTCAATTTTATTGAAGAGAAAATTGAGGGAAAATTGAGTGTTTCTAATTTATGGAAGGAGAAAGAAGTAGGGAAATTTTAGTTTTCTTTTTGTGAAAAGAAAGAAGGAAACAAATTTGTTGTTTTCAATTTTTTGATATTTCAAATTTTTAGCCTTTGAAATATGGATCTTTAATTTTTATATGGAGGGCATGACTAGTTAAATTTATTCTTATATGCTTTGAAGGCTAATATATATGTATGTAATTTTTTATTGGCTAATAAATAAATTAACCATTAGTTACAATAATTATACTAAACTTGATAAGTAATCTTTGGCGGTTCGTTGTTTAGGGTATAAAGTATATGGTTAGGGCATAGGGTATAAGGTACAGATGGTTTAGGGTGTATATGGTTAAGGTATAAGATATTGATGGTTTTGACGGTTCTAAGTTTTTTATTAACATATGTTCACTTGAAGTCAATTGAAGCCTTTAACGGCATGAGATCCCTTTTTAATTTATGTTTATGGTACGTGGTTAGGGTACAAGGTATGCGGTGTAGGGTATAGGATATATTGTTAGGGCTTAGCAATTAGCAAATATCACTTTTTATCTATGTTTTGAAAATCAAAGTATGAATTTCAATTTTAAATAACCCGTTTTGACACCTATTTGGTAATTCGAACAATTTTACAAATAACTCGTTTGGCAACAGTTTACTGAAGTTATTTGGCAATGAGTTATTTCGAAATAACTCCTTTTATCACTCTGTTTTTGCCAAATACGCCAAATACCAGATTTGCATGGTTATACTAAATGAGATACTTTAATCCAATTACTACTGAAATAATACTAAATTATCAAATAAACAATTAATGGTGTCTTTTGGTTGCAAATATTGATAACCATTACTATTAGCTAGTGTACTTTACCAATTATGATTAATTAGATATATGGCTACAAATGAGCCAAGCTGCTCACGAGCGGCTCGGTGCTCGGCTTGAGAGAAATTCATTCGATACTCGGCTCATTGCTTAATGAGTTGGCTCGTTAGCTCGCTCGTTTACTAATGAGCCAAGCCTGAGCCAAGTCTTGTTAAGCTCATTAAGCTCGCTTTGCAAGCCAACTCGATAATGTGACTCACAAGCAACTCTAGCCTTAATACTCTATATTTATTTACTTACACTCGGAAATGCCTTTTATGGATTGTACTAGATCAATAGCATACTAATGGAAATCCAGCAACCCCATTTCCACTACACCAAGTTTCATTCTCTGGTATTAAATATAGTGTTTAATTGTTCTTCTTGAACCTTATAATGGTATGCATTCTGATTTTGGTATTCAGCAGCATGTTTAACCAGCCGCGGCTTGGTGGGGAAAGATGTCAAGGTGTACCTCTTGGTGTAAAACCTCAAACCTGTAAGCGATGTAAAGGAACTAGCACGGTTAGTATTGTAGATGCAGTAGACTCTACTAAGACCCAGTGTTTATGTCAGGTGTTTCTGACTAGGTATTACACTCTGCATTTAGTACAAACAAATCCAGACATATCACTTCCAATCGAGGGGTTTTGATTAAGCGTTGCCACCAGTGCTTTGAGGAAGAAGAGGAGCAGTACATCATGTCACCTCGGTTGGACTCCGAGCTACCCTCTACTAGAGTTTCTTTATCACTACGAAAAGATATGCTGCCTTCTGCAGACTATGATGAAGCTGAAGATAGAGGGTTTGGTTTTATCTCTATTTCTTGTTCTACCACATCGACAAATGAAGAGAAAACCCATACTTCATTCACCTATATAATTGTGGTTGGCATTTGTCATGAAATCTAAATCCTTAAGTGGTCTGGCTAGTGGCTACACTCTATTTGAGTGGGCCTATAGTTTGGCCTTCTTAGGGTCCGATAGTAGCTGCTCTTTTGTAGCCTTTATCGAATTATGGGTTGTCAAAGCCCATAATAATAGGTTGTTTGACGAGCCTTTCTATTTGAATGGGCTCGTTGAGCTTAGTATTCAAGCCTTTGCCGAGTTCCATTCGAGTCGAGCTCGAGCTGGGTAATGTTGAAGTCGAGCCGAGCTCGAGCTTGGACGTTGCTAGCTTGTGTCAAATTCGAGCCGAGCTCGAGCTTAGGATTTTAGTTTTGAGTTCGAGCTGAGCTAGTCAATAACTCAGCTCGGCTCAAGTGCAGCCCTAATTACATAACAAGTTTGCAAGTCATACAAATTGATTTAACATTTTGACTAGTTTTTTTCAAAAAAAAATTAAGTATATATATACGAGGTAGAAATAAATTGGTTAAAAAGTTGAGAAAAATATTTTAAATTAGTGTAATAAAATGTGTAAGTTGGTAACGAGTAATGAGTAAGTTACTGGATGCGCTGGCCCAAACAACCAAAACCCGATCCGCCCGCGACCCGCCCGAACCAAAACCCTATGGACCCGCAACCCGATTTGCCCACAACCCGATTGAACCCGAACCCAATGAACCCGCAACCTGACTAACCCGCAACTCGTTTGAACCCGAACTCGATGAACCCGCAACCCGACTAACCCGCAACCTGTTTGAACCCGAACCCAATTGAACCCAGCCCAAACTCGCCAGAACCCGCTCGATTGACACCTATAACCACGTCATGGTGGTGACTCCAACACTTAGCCAAATTTTGGAGCAGATGGCTAGAGTGGCACATGATGGTATATGAGGTTGTGGGCCCAAAAATTCAATCCACTTGGCCCACTTAATTGATTTAAACTGTTATAATTAAGTTGGTCTTATAAAGTCATTTAATCCCTTGTATTTAGATGATGTCATACAAGATTAATTTTTAGGGTAAACACTAACCATCATAATATACGGTAAAATACAAATAACATTTAAAGAATTCATAATCACTCAATCCACTCCACTCACGAAATAGATGTACTAATGATCACATAGATTTTATGCATACTTTAGAGCCTCACTTTTTAGGTGTTTGAATGTCATAATCATCCTGCTTCGAACATCTCAGGTGGATACTTTAGCCTGGGAAGTTCCAGGCCATTGATGAGACAAGAGCGAACCTTCTGTTCTTGTGAATTAGGTACAAAACAAGGTCACAACTGTAGTAAGGAGGTGGAAGACTGATGATCGTGTCCTAGAAGAGAAGATCACGGACGAGATCATGGACCGCAAAGTCAACGTGACGATCGCGGCCTGGAAGCGCAAGATCGTGGCCGCGAACTGGAGGGCTCAGGGTGCGAACTTTGCGAAGAAGGAGTCGAGGAGAAACAAAAAGTTTCCTCAGACGAATCACGACCATAGTGTATTTTGACCGCTGCGAAGTCAGCCTCCGATCTCCTCAATCCAGAAGGCCAATACGACTGTGTTTCAAGATCGTAGCATCGCAATAGAATATCCCGCCTGCGATCTCTGGCCGTGAACTTCTCCATCCTCTGATTGCCTATAAATAAAAGACCATTTTCCTCTTTAAGGAGAGCTGATTTGAGAGAGAGAAGAGAGAGAAGCTGAAGGAAGGAGAAGAGGAGAAGGAGCTAGAAGAGAGGAGGCATCTTCCTCAACATCAAGTCTTCTTCCACCTCTTCTATGTACCTTCTTCCCTCCTTTATGGAGCAGTCCTCTAAGGTACTAGAGGTTCTAAACCCCAAACCCTAGTTTTAGGGTTTACTATGTATGTATGGATATTCTAGGGTTTGAACGAATGAATGTGTTATCTAGTTGATTCTAACCTTGATTATGTTTGGGTATGTCACCCGAATCTTCTCAATTAGCCTATTTTATGCTTCTACACTGGGTATGGAGTTCTAGGGTTAGACAGGTATGCGCCATCAAGCAAATTGAGATAGATGTATGAATAGGTCAAGGAGACCGAACCCCTACCATAGGTAGCCTTCCTAGATAGAACCTGCGATAAAACCTATGGACGGTGGATAGTATCCATTGAAAGGAGCTACGAGCTTAATGCTCCAAATATGATAGCCTAGATCGAGGTGACTTTATATGGGTCTAGGGGAGGCGTACTCGGAGGTGTGTGGATAACCTTTAAAGCCCATGGAAACGAGCTCACTCACCATATTTGATAACCCTAAGTATCTAGACATTACATAGTAGCCCTAGACTAGGGTGGGGGATAGTTCCCCG